GGACAGCTTTAGCCATGAGAAAATGTATCAATTCGGCTCCCCCTTCCCGACATAGTCTAGCCAGGATACCAGCTTCGTCACCGGGAGCTACCGAAGGTTCGCCGTGGCCAGAGGTGTTTGGCTCAGAACTAGGTCCGGGAACCTGATTCTGATCATTTGACTCTTGTCCTGCCGAGGAGCGACCTGGCTGAGGACCTTGAGCACGCCTCTGAGCACCCTTCGTAGGTGGCTCTATCTGTTGTTCGGTAGGCAAAGGTCCTTTGCCACCGGTAAGACGAGTGGGGGCTCTCCGCTCACGACCTGAACGCCTAGGCTCTGGTAAGGGAGCAGGCGGTTCATTCCGGGGTTGTGGCGGCGGACTCGGATCACGCTGTGGTGCAGCGGGCGGTGCAACGTCTTGCTCCGGATCCGGTCTCCTTTCAGGAGGATAGTGTTGATGAGGCGGAACATCGCCGTCATCATCGGGTGGGATGGTGGGTTGTGGATCTTTCCGACGAGGAAGTCGGTTAGACCTGTGTCTGTTTGACTCAGAGCACCGAGGAAAGAGGTTCTCATCAAACAGCGCATGTGCTGCGGTAAACATTGAATTGTTTTCCCGCATGAAAATGTTGCCGTGTCCACCGTCTGAAGTTCCGAGGTATGTCATTAGTTCTGACTTAGGCGCGAGTTTATTCTTGCGAACATCCTCGTGTAAAAACACATAAGCGCCACAGCCAAGAACACGCAAGTGGTCAATGCGCGGAACTGAGCCATGAAGTGCCTCGTATGGAGTTTTCCACTCAAGACGGCGGATAGGTGTACGATTATACACATGTACCGCGTGGTTGATAGAGAATTCCCACCAGGATTCAGGGAGACACGCTTGAAAGCGCATGGTCTCACCTTTGTCCACAGTTGTACGGATGAACCGTTCGGCATGTCCGGACTGTTGGTGAATGTAGGGAGCGGAATAGAGTGCCTTTATACCTTTGTCCTTGAAGAATTCATCGAGTTTCCCCGACCTGTATTCACCTCCACCGTCAGACATCCAGTTGAGTATTTTATAACTCGGAAACTGGCGTTCAACCATCGCAATAAATTGCTTTATCGCGTTAAAGGCTGCGTCTTTGGTTTTAAGGTGGGTGTTCCAGCCATATGACGTGCAATTGTCGAAGAAGACGATTGTGTACTTGTACTTGTGGTACGACGTCACAGGGAATTCTTTCAAGTCCGAGTGTATTGTCTCGAAAGGCTTTTCAGCCCGACGACCGGTTGACGAGAATGGACGCAGATGCATCTTTCCCTTGGCACAACCTTCGCAAAGATCCTCTTTGTCTGGCACGACGAATGGTGGTGAGCCTTCCGTGTGCTTTCTCAGTTGCCTGAGTACTTCGCGCGAGGGGTGACCCAAGCGGCGATGCATGGTAGTATGATCTACCGAGTAAGCAATGGCATTGCGTACTAGGGGTTGCGGCGAATAGTCGTGTAAGACATATATCGTGTCAAACAGGAGTCTGGGTTCGAAAGAGAGAAACAACTTGTCTTTGTCCCAGAACGTCACTGAATGAGCATCACCCTGAACAGTTTTGCCATCTTGAAGGAAGCGACCTTGCGCAATTAAGCGCGCAGTGCATTCTTTCATGTAGAAAACAGGTGCGAGTCTCGCAACCTGTATCTCATCATCGTCTGCGTCTTTGAAATGGACTAAGACAGTGCCGACACCTGTGATGAAGGCAACTGCCGTTGCAGTGCGGACTGTGATTTTCTGTTCCAGCTCATGGAACTCAATGAAATCGTTTAAGTCGAACGTGGTGTGTTCAGAGCAACCGGAGTCGTTCATCCACGTCTTTTCATTGGTTTTTCCATGGCGATGACCTTTTCCCTTACATTTCGGACAAGCGGCAAAGTTTAGATGATGCGCACACAAGTCATGCGAAATATATTTAACATCAATACGAAAATTGTACATGCGCGTCAAAATGTCCGACGATAAAACCGATCGATTACATACGCGTTTCTCTGCGACCGAGGAGGGCGAGTTAGCACAATTCGCATGATGATGGGAAGAAGGTACTGACCCCATGTTCCCCAAAATTCCAGCGATGTCAGCGATCTCCGCGTCCAAGTCCAAAGTCATCGGCTCATCCGGATCTCCGAGAGAGACCGGAGTGTCGAACAATGGAGGGAACGCAGGAGAGGGCGGCAACTCGCCGAAGTCCTCGTATCCGAAGGTAGAGGGGTGAGGAGGGGTAGGAGCAGTGATGCCGTTCTCCGCGTCCGGAGCGGGAGCAATGCGATCCGCGAGGGTACACATGCGCTTCTGGGACGGACCAGCGTCGCCTTCATCGTCGCTTTCGACCTCCGAGATATGGCCGCAGGGTTCGAGGGCGCGGATAACGTCAGGCGTCGCTTTGACACCGAGTTCATGCGCAAGCTCGATACCCTTCTTCGCCTTAATGCGAAGAGAGGCATTAGAGGGACGGTGAGCGGGATGTTTGGAATGACGGCGAACATCATGAGTGGATGGGTCGAGGTCGGTGCGAGGAGGGCCGAAGGTGAGAACCTCGTTAATGGGAGCGAACTGGAGAGAGTTCTGCGTATTGCCGTCAATCTTCGTCATTGCTGTCCGAGTCGACGACGGCGGCATTGTTCCCATTCTGGCCCTTGCCCTTCTTGCCACGCTTACGCTTCTTCTTTCCGTTCGAATCTCCCTGGTTGCCGTTGTTGCCCGAATTCCCCTGCTGCTGCTGCTGGTTACGACCGCGCTGCTGCTGGTTATTACCACACTGCTGCTGCTGGTTGTTACCGCGCTGCTGCTGGGAGAAGTTGGGGTCGTTCTGCTTGCGCTTCACAGCGGACAACTTGTTGGCAGTAGCAGGTTCAGCGGACTTGCCGGTACCGATGAAATCGTTGACCGCGGCAGTGCGAACCTGCTCAGCGGACATCGAAATGATGTCGCTGGCGCCCATCTGAGAGAAGTTAGACAGGACGTTCTTGTAACGGGGAGGGAGTTTGGAAAGAATGATCATGGCGATAAGGTGCTCGGGGACTTCGACTTTACGGAGTTTAAGACGGTTGAAGAGCATCGTGATCTTGTCGATCGCGGAATCCGGGTTGGAATTCCCAGGGATCTGCTGCTTCATCGCGTCAGAAAAGTCGTTGAAGACAGTTCCGAGGGTCATGACGTCGAACTTCTTCTTCAGAAGCGCCATGAGCTCTGTCGCAGTAGTGTACTGGTCCTTGATCGACTCACGAAGAGTCGGATCGAGGCGGAGCGCGATGGACCCCTTGGCTTTGGTGTCGTCAACGACCCACTCGTGGATCGCCTTGCGATCAAGGGCGAGATCGGCGTCTGCAGAATCCTTGGGGTTTGGTTCGTTAAGAATCCAACTGAGACCGGAAGCGTCGAGGAACGATCCGATCTCCCCCTTCCACGCCGGATAGTCGCGGATGCTGGAGAGAGTGGTGGGAACAGCGGTGTAGAGCGCAGAAGACATGTTTACTGGAGTAAATCGACAGAAAACAAGTCAGCATGGGTTCTCTAACGCATGTGATGAGAGAGTAAAATGGCATAGTTCTGCCTTTACTCATAGCGACGAGCCGCGACTTTCGTCTGGCGAGGCTGTCGACTACGACGTCAGCA